TGCAAAAAGGTTGTATAAATAATCTAATCAAAGATACAAAAACAACCTCCTTTTCCTGTCAAAGTTTACTTGTAACTAACCATCAAAATATTACTTAATAGTAAACAGATACAATTATAATGCTTTATTGACCTCCATACCTCTCAATAGAACTATCACTTGCCTGTGCTTTAACTGACTTATAGTTACTTTCATAAAAATGAATCTATACAATATTATAACATTGATAAAATCTAAAATTCGATTACTCAATGTTTACTTTCAATTTGACTATTGAATTACCAGATCTCTCGAAGATATTTGACGCAATCTTATCAACCTGATTAGCGAAACTATTATAAAACAAATGAATATCAAATTTGTTTATAATCTTCTTTTTCTTCTCAACCATGAGACGCCCACTGCTGGGCATAGGCCTCCCCCAAAGATCGTCACGATGACCGGTCTTGTGCCACCCGCATGCAGGACGCTCCCGCTTTTTTATAATACCTTTATGCTTTTCAAAATTCTTTCTACTCCACTCAAAGAGGTTATGGGAACCACTTAGTGTAGATTTAGTCAGAGAAATGTAGACTAAATAATTAGTAGCAGTAGTACCATATAAATCGCTTTAACTTAGTAGTACCTTGGATAACATTGATTTCAACTTTCCCGAATCTTACTTCTTATCTTACTAATATTATAAATGCGAATGTTTAGATGGATGAATGTTTGTTTGAAGGTATCTCCAGAACAGCTGAACAGATCACGATGAAATTTGGCATACATATAGAACAAAATCTGGTAAAAAACATAGGCTACTAATTATGTTTTTTTTATTTTGAGGCTGATGGAGTCGCGGGCGACAGTTCGTTTTTTATAAATAAAATCAGCTACACACGACTTTTGACTTCACTTGTTAATGCGATAATTGCATCAATTCAAGTCCTATTTGTCGTTGCAATACTAACTACAAATATTTCGCAACTTAACCTAACGTTGTGAATAATAATAATTACTTATCAAGGATTTGCAAGTAATGAAATTAATTACATTAAAAGTACGTTAAATGCAAACAGAGTGTCGGTGGCTCAGGGGTCAAACACTTGACTTGCAATCTGCAGGTCCTGGGTTCGAATCCCGCCATGTACCAATGTGTTTTTCGATTACTAATTTACATATGTACATTTGTTCGACGTTCTTATGATGAAGGAAAACATCGTGATGCAACCTTGCACATATCTGAGAAGAAATTCAAAATTATGTGTGAAATCAACCAACCCGCACTTGGCCAGCGTGGTTGACTATGGCCTAATCACCCTTAAGTTAGGGTAGGCTCCGAGGCAATACATATTTCGAGTTTAGATTTACATATTTGACATTTATCCGACGTTCTGACGGTGAAGGAAAAAATTGTGATGCAACCTGCATATATCTGAGAGAGTCGTGTTAAGGGATGTTAAATTTTACAATTTTTATAAAGTCAATATTTTATTGTATCACCCGTAATTGTTTATAAAACATTTTTGCATGTTTCACTTTTACACAATTTGTCTTATTAGCAAGTTACTGGCAGGTTACAAACTGAAGCAACGAAACGTGACTTACTTTTGAGTTCGACTGAACATAGCTTAAGTTATATCTAAGTATGTTATTATGCAATTCTTTAACTTAAGGAAGAAATTAATGTACAGACGTAAGTCGATTTTTTATAAGATTGATAGAGAACCTACGATGTTTAATAAATATAGTTGTGCCCTTATTTAATTTAAACATTGTGATATAAATAAAATGAAATTTCCTTTAACAAATAGAATAGATATGCCTTTTTTAATGCCAATATTGTCGATTGTCATTTGTTCCACTGCCGATACATTTGCCCAAAATCATTAATGTTTTCTCTATTCTCTCTAATTGAATGAGAGAGATGGCAATATTAATATGTGTTTTTAATACCATGAATCGTAACTCTTATATAAAAAATCAGTTTATATAGCCAGTGTCCTAAGATGCTTTAAATATAAAAGGAAAAATGCTTCTTTACAATTTAAGACAAGGTTTGCGGAAAACATTACCAATTTTAAATACTTAACAAAATAACTTTTCATCTCCATTTTATTGATAACGAAACTAATTAAAAATTAACAGCTTCGTCCTTTCATAATAAATGCAGACAAAATATAGACTGGTTTTAAAATTTAACTTTTATATATAGCATAGAAGGTAAAATATCTTTAATTAAATTAAATAAAAAAAAACTCCTCACACTAAAGTGGCAGAGACTACGAATTTTGGCTCGATCCTGGCATATTTGTGCAATTAAATTTTTCGTAACTTTGCCTTCATTCATCTTCCTAATATAAATGTGAATATTTAGATGTATGGACGTTTGATAGTAGGTAACTCCGTTAATGTTAAATGCATTAATGTTAATAATAATCAGACAACAGCAACCGATCAAGCCGAGGTTCGGCCCTCTCGGGGGCCCTTGAGCCCCGTCAGTCCATGGAGCGTCCACCGAAGCGATCTAAGAGCTCGGGGGCCTCCCAATCCGGTAATAATATAAAAATAATGAGGTAACGGCCCGAGTCGAGGTTCCTGGGGGAGCCCTCGAGGTTAGTTACTCTTAAACGAGGTTTAGGCTAAGTGCCATCTACGCTCGGCCACCTCAAGCCCGGTGAAGCTGTAAATGCCTCCTCAATGCAAACAGTGGCAAATCAGTCACAAAATAAAATAGGTAACTCCGAAACAAACTCCATACATCTTGTTGAAATTTGGCATAAATAAGGACATATCATTGAAGAACACATAGGTCACTAAATAAGTTTTTTTTTTTATCTTAATCCCGCGGGGACGAAGAAGCGACAGCTAGTTAATTATAAATCAGCAAAATATCTTATATTTGTTAAAAACACATCGAACGCGTGCTTTATAAAATTTTAATTCGTTCCATGCATCGACATCCGTTTGATTAACCTCAGATATGTCTAGATCACTAAACTTGTGCTATTTCCGAATATATTGTTAATTGTTTCCCCGACAATAGATTTCTGTGCAGCCTCACAACAAGGTTGGATGATTAGCTGTCAGATCACGCATCTAATACGTACGTACGTAATTAACATTATTATACGGATAAATAAAAACTGTTATTTCTAGAATTTTCTCATTATTCTTACTAATAATATTTATCCTATATTAAGTATATAACCCGCACTTGGCCAGCGTGGTTGACTATGGCCTAGTCACCCGTAACATAGGGTAGGCTCCGAGCCCTCTTTTTTTTTTTTATAGTCAGGAAATGCATTTACGCACGCCTACGCCGGGCGGTGCAATGGCGTAAGGAGTGTGGGACTCGCCGGCCACAGAAGGTGACCAGAATACCCACTAAAACCTGACTGCCCTCTGACGCATCGGGACGGGACCACGGGCACGCTTTCGCTCTCGTCCGCGGCCCCGTCTGCGCTAGCTGCCAAGGCAGCTCCCTCACGGGGGCTCCGAGCCCCTCGGTGGGGACGTATAGTGAGCTGATGATGAAGTATATAATTTGTGATTTTTATATGAATTTGTACACTTACTATACTTAATCTTACTAATATTATAAATGCCAATATTTAGATGTATAGATGTATGTTTGTTAGAAAGTATCTCCGGTACGGCTTAACAGATATTGATGAAATTTGGCACACATGAAGAACATAGTCTGGTAGAACTGATAGGCTACTTATTTTTTCTTGATTCCGCGCGGACGGAGTCGCGGACGACAGCTAGTTGCTAATATCAAAACAATAAAATATTCTTTGTTACATTTTCAGTACAAATTTTATTAAAAAAAAACACTAAGTATAAATCGTGTTTTATCTACGCCTAACATATTCGTTACAAACGCATCTTGCATTTTGATTAATTTACAAAAGGAAGTATTTTGCATTGAAACGCATTATTTGGGTATTTATAGTTTATTTTTAAATGCGCATTTTTCATGAAACAAGGAAAACCTTTTATAATGCAATGTCAACCGAGAACAATGCGAATATTGTATAAAATTATATAAAACTATAGGAACAAATTATATATTATACTTTCTAAACTTAGTTTCTACCCGAATAACACCCTGTATATTAAGTAGCACATTAACTAGGTAAAATACAGGTGTATGTTTTTATGTAATGGGCTAAACTAATTTCAATACGACCTCCTGTATATAGCCTAAACAACTGAATCGCTGAACACGATTTTGACAAGTGAACGTTTTTGACAAGTGAGTTTTCAATTAATTCGTAATCATCCCTAATCGTCAGTACAAACAGCAAAAAATGAAATCAATCGATTTTGTATTTTGAATTTTAATAATTCATATAATTATGTTTTTAATTAAGAGCTTCGGTGTTGCAGTTATCACTTGATTGGACCGTACCGTAATTTAAAAAACTATGTTTGAATCCCGAATTTCATATTTATTTTACCACGTTCATACGGTAAAGGAAACCATCGTGATACAACCTGCACATATCTGAGAAGAAATTCAAACATATGTGTGAACACGACTAAACCAAACTTACCCTTAAATTGGGTCGTCTCTGAGTCCCTCGTTGGTCTAATAAGATGAAGACGGATTTTTTTATGTTCAATAATTCAATAATTATGTCAACAATATTTACTAGACATCATTGTTACGTTACATGACTACATTAAATTGTTCAGTGTAATATAGATAGTGTAAAATATTTTATACTAGCTGTAGCCCGCAACTCTATCCGGCCAAATTTCATCAAACTCCATACCGTCGTTCTGGAGATAACTTCTAACAAACATCCAAACATTTGCATTTATAATATTAGTAACATCAGTCTATGTTTGTTTAATTGTATTCTAATTTGAGCTTTATAATTATAGGCATAAAGATGTTGACAGTTAAGGGACATTCGAATAACGAATTCCTTTATCATTTGAATATCGAAATCATCGAGGTCTGGTATATAACGACTGCAGATTCACCGTATAATCACATTTCACTAACATCATCCTAAGAAGAAACATCGTTGTAAATTAACAATGAAATATGTTAGTATATATTTGATTTAAATTAATTAAATGTGTGCTAATTTAATTTTTCTATTTTACGTTTAAAATGAACTTGAAAAAAATGTTTTAAAAATTTTAAATTTAAAATTAATTTGCTGATGTTACATTTTATTTTATTTAGAAAAGAATAAATTTATAAAATTATTTTTTATAGTTAAATATAATTTTATGTGAGTGATAAAAACGGATCTGTGATGTGGGTCATATACAGGCTGATTGCTTACTTGAAATAACTATAGTAATTAAGTTAAACATTTTTAATAATTTTTTTACAGCTGAATTTGTTCATTTTACGATTTATTGAGCAGTTTTTAAATTTTAAATATAAATTAAAAATATCACAGATAAAAAATTCGAAATCGATTATTGATTTAATGATTTTTTTTAGTTACTATTCAGAAACTGGAAACAGTATTAACATATTACTATCGCTTCTTTTAAGAAAATGGTAAAATATTTGGTTAATCATACAATTGAAACAATGGGGAAGTCACTAGTGTTATATGATCTTCTAACAAAACAACAAATGTATGCTTTTAAGATGTACAGTCTTCATTGTTTTTTTTTTCAGTTAATCATATTAACGGTAGCTGCTATAGCCAACGCAGCGAGCTTAGACAAAGTGTATCTACCGTCTATTGACCCAGCGAATGTTCCATCTAGAACGTATCTCACCCCTACTCAGGGTGCTCCGCCATCTCGAACGTACAACACCCCTACTCAGAACAACGTCCCAACTCCCTCGGCTTCCAGTCATCAATCACAGATATTAAAATTCGAGAATGACATGAATGAAAATGGTTATCACTACGCATATGAAACTAGTGATGGGACAAAGGTTGAGGAAAATGGTAAGTTTTTTTTTATTTATTTAAATACTGTGCTTTTTAATACATAATTCTATCAATGTTATATCGGTCACACACTGACTAGATTCATAAGTATCACCGTACATAAATACCTAGCAATTTAACATTACGAAACGCACTGGCCATCTGCAAATGACATCTTTGGCATAAAAACATGAATGTCTTTCAAACGAGGTTCGGATATATTTATTTTTTGTTTGTAAAACATTTTTTTTTTTAAAGTAAATGCTTGAATAATGTGCTCTTACAGTTATCTCGCTTTAATTCATGAATTTTTCTTAAACAAATCATCAAATTTTACTAGCAGAATAAAAACCAATTTTCCATAAATCAGAAATCTTGATTGGCATATCCAGAAAATTAAATTTTATAGCCTGAACAGTGACATCAAAACAAGTTGATCAGTTAGTCTCCCAAATCCTTGTAAATTAGACTTAATTTAAGGGATATTAGTAATAAAATTAAAGGTCGGCTCCAGTCACGGCGGTATCGAAGGCGTTGTGTTGTCGTCGCGAGTATCTGATCTCGTGACTGTTCTGCTCTTTCAATATCGAACAGTTCCAAATATCGAATATTTAAACTTTGAAACGGATAAGCTTACTAATAATTTCAGGGACAAATAATATAAAATATGGTTCTGGTAAATATTGCATAAGATACTAAAATTGTCTTTAATCCTATATTCCTTTATTTGTGTTTTTAAAAAAACGTTGTATAAAAAAACGAATAACAAAATATATAAAAAATTGTACCCTACAAATCAGGACTTTAGAGAAAGGAACCTCCTGACAACTGCCTTTTGTATCAGGCCCTTAAGTCAAATGTTTAACGAGAGCTTCTCAAGTTCTTGGTCGAAGCTCTTCGCTATCAGTCCATCCACTGACACGACTTGTATATATTGTTAAACATAACATTTATCGTCATTCCCTAAAACATAGTATGATTGATAGGTGTAAAAAAGAGACCTATTTTATATTATGCAGCCTTAATAGTGCTCAAAATTGCTCAAAAACACAAATCAAGTAACTAAAATCATCAGACTTTTATTTCAAATAATAACCGTAATCTTACCAAATCAGATTTACATACTAGCTGTCGACCGCGATTCCGTCTGCGCGGGATTAAAAAAAAATTAGTAGCCTATCTGTTCTTCCAGACTGTATTCTACATCTATGCCATCTGGTTATCAGCTAGATCCGTTCAGCTGTTCCGGATATACCTTCAAACAAACATCCATCTAAATATTCGCATTAATAATATTGAGTAAGATTCGCAACATATATTACAAATAACAAAGATTAACACAATCATTGATGTCGCAACTTTAATACAGGTCGAGTGATTCCCGGAGTACAACCTGAAGAGGGTTCCATACAAGTGGAAGGTTCATACTCGTATGTTGGTGTTGACGGACAAACATACTCCATCACTTATACCGCAGATGAGAATGGCTACCACGCGGCTGGCGACCACCTGCCTACACCGCCGCCGATACCTGAGGCTATATTGAGGAGCTTGGAACTCACTGCTGGAAGTGGAGGTAAGGTTTTTTTATTTAGAGAAAAAAAGGAATTTACAGTCAGGAGAGAAAGAGAGCCACTGAGTACAAGAATACGAATCGATTAAGTAGCCTCAACGAATGTACCAATATGGAGTAGTGAAATATTATTTGTTTCGTGACTTTAATGTCGTTAAGAGTTTTAGAATTTTGATAAACGATTTTTTTTTTCCCAGGTCAATACGACAAGAAGAAAAGCAGTTACGACGCAGATGCTGGTTACTAAATAAAATAAATTTTACATCAAACTGTAAATCTAAGATCGACTTATAGGTTTTAATTTTATCTTTAAATGTAAGTCGATTTTAGATCCATACAAAAATTAACTAGTCTCTTTGTCCAGTAAATGTTTAAAAACCAAGTCGTTTAATATGTTGATTTATTGGTATTTGAATATAATTTTTTATTAAAATGAAAAGCTTTTTGAGTTATCGCCTCGAATCATTTAAAACAGTACTTAGAGTTACAAGTTTGAGCGCCAAATAAGTCGAAACTTTTAGTTATATTGAACTAAATAGAGCGCCTATTAAAATTTAATAGCAAATGTTTGTAAATGATGTAATTTTTAACTTTTTAAAGTAGAATGTAGAACCAACAATATCAAATATCGGCATTTTGGGAAGTCATTTGAATCTATATCAATGTAAAAAATGATATAATACATTCGTCATATTAACATTTTAGTTATATCTTTCAGTTTGGTCGTTATTACTAAGAATTGATAAGAGGTCGACGTTTGGAATTTATCACATTGTTGCTAATTTCAAAAACTAAATTGTGTCGTTGCAAATATTTATTTAGATATTTTTTTTTAATTTTAATAACTTTATGCTGTTTATGATTTATTTTTTCAGCCAAGAATCGTACATAGGGCCATTTTTATTTCACTGGACTAAAACAAAGTTTAGATCATTTGATTACAATTACAAGAATATTTCTCGTTATAATTCGTCATGTTCTCAATCAAATGACTTCATCTGTTGAGTCTCATCTAGTGACTTCACAAATAACATGACGTCTATGTACAGTCAGGGTAGTTTGCGGTGTTCCAATTACAGAAAAATTACCTTGATCCTTGCAGACACTAACTCTGGCCCTTCTATCAAAATAATTAGGTTAAATTAGGACGTTATATTAAAAAAAAGCAATTAGTTCTGCACCAATTACCTGCCTTATTTAGTGCAGACACATTGAAAAGCTATAGTCACTTACGAAATGTTCAAAGTCTTGCTTTGAAAGTGTAATATCTTTATACTCCTCGTCATTAAAACGTAACAGTGCGTTTCCATTGATAAAATTCATGTATCCATATACATGTTACTAGTACTTATTTATAGAGTTTGTGCGAATATATTTACAGTGGAAACCCATTCTATTTAAAGTTTACACAATTCATATTTAAAACGGTTACTAATAATAGTAAGTAGGTCTCATAAATATTGTAGTAAAGCTCATGACTAAAGATTGAACAGTACCAATTTTAAAACAATCAATTCTAATACAAGCAAAGCAAAGCAATATTAGATATTTATTTATAGACTTGTCAAAACACTAGTCATTGTAGTTTTGTTAACCATCTATTAACCGACTTACCTTGGGTTCCCGAGACCAAAATAACTGTTTAAAATATATCATTACCTCTATTTTGTCATAGATAATGGCAGGGATGACAATATATTTTATACAGAGACTAGCTGTCGACCGCGACTCCGTCCGAGTGGATATGTAAAAAACTTAATTAGTGTAGCCTATGTGTTCTTATTTCTTCAAACACCCATCCATCCATCCACATCACATCCATCTAAACATTCGCATTTATAATATTAGAAAGGTAAATAAAAAGCGGCTTTTCGAGGCATAAATACGAAATAAATAAAAAGAATAAATAGTATCCTATGTCCGTCTCCTGGCTCCAAGCTACCTCCTCACCAATTTTCAACCATATCAGTAAAGGCGTTCTTGAGTTATAAATAGTGTAACTAAGACGACTTTATTTTATATATATAGATTTTGGTCTCAGAAACAAACGGTAAGTGTTACATTTGGTACACGTCTATAGGAAATAGTAAAATTAAACTAAAATCTTACTACTATTAAAAACGCGAACGTTTAGATCGATGGAGAGATGGGTGTAGGGATCTGAACGGATCTCAATGAAATTTGACATACATATAGTCCCTGGAAGAACACATAGGCTACTAATTATATTTTTTTTATTTCCGCGCGGGCAGAGACGCGGGCGACAGCTAGTTTACAATAAAATTTGAACAAAAACAATTTATTTGTAAATAGTGTCCAAGGTCAATCTAGACGGCGTGATAGGCCGAATGCTTTAGTGTAGATAACAATTTAAACTACAAATTATAACCAACCAGACATTCGAAACAGACGGTTTTATAAATCTTAATTGATAGTGGCTTCAATAATGAACTTACATAGACCGCTTTAAAGGACAATGAACTGTGGGCCTCAATGTATTGTAACCGTTTTCATAAACTATCCAAATCAGAATAAACGGTTGCATTGCTGTTTATATTACAGTTATATTTGATAAATATATGTTTAAGACAAAAAATTTAACACCTAACATGTCTACATTGTATTCGATTGTGCTAAAAGTATTTATCGTAAAACGTAATTTTACACAACGCGCGTCGCCGACATTTGCTATGTGTCGACTCAGTCGCTCGCAACTTGTCAACAACGTCGCTGCAATTCTAGTTGTACTGACCGACTACACAACGCGATTCTCGCTACGCAACAATACAATATTTGTTTCAACTATATGCGTTGCCTTGTGTACGAATGATAGCATATTAACGTTCTATAAAGCAGAAAATTAAGAATTAAATATTTGTTAAATAATAGAATTTTAGAAATGAAAGTTTAAAACGAATAAGATAATCATATTAAAATGCGAATGTTCGGATGGATGTTTGTTTGAAGGTATCTCCAGAACGGCTGTATAGATCTCACTGAAATTTGGCATAGATGTAGAACATAGTCTGGAAGAACATATAGGCTATATCGATGGCTGGCAATCCACAACAGTGCGGTTTGCGCGAAACTTCCTGCCTTGCACAGCAGCGTTGTGGAATCGTCTGTCCTCGGCGGTATTTCCAAACCGCTACGACTTGGGGTCCTTCAAGAAGCGAGCTTATCACCATCCCAAAGGCTGGCAATGCATCTGCGGTTCCTGTGGTATTGCTGATGTCCATGGGCGCCCTTGAACTCCTCGGTGTTCCCGCTGCTCGTTTACTCCCTTCTGTTATTAAAAAAAATAGGCTACTAATTAGGGTTTTTTTGATTCCGCGCGGACGTAGTCGCGGGCGATAGCTCGTACGTATAGACTTCGGCTCATTATGATATGACGCATTTTTATCCGTGATTTTCGAATGTTATTTGATTAATGTTTTAGTGTTATGTTTGTATAATAAGCTTCAAGTACAAACTTGTCCTTAACTTGAACTGTTAAATTGTATGTTCGCTGGATGAAGTAAGCGATATGACGTAGGCTTAAGATAAAGGTGCGGACAAATTATAGTGCAACTATATATGTCATTTTAATCTTTTACGGATTTATCTATATGTAAAAATCACTTGTCACTGTGTTTATAGTCATCGTCGGGAACGTCTGGCTCGAGTTCTATTATGTTTATTTTATATAATATTTTATATTGGAATAGGTTGCAATATACAGATATTTCATAATAATAAAATTTAAATATTAAATATCGTTATTTTGACTTAAGTTTTGCAAGCAATAGCCTATAACAACTACTAAACTTGTACTTTTTAATATAAGTACGCTTTTGATAACTTTACGTAATAAGTAAGTTAAAACGAACAAACGATTCATTTTAAGTTAAAAGGTCATTCATCGACAGCATTCGAACAGATGTGCTCCAGATGCGTTAGCTTCCTTTCTACGAGACGAAGAAGAGGGTTGGGAAGGGCGAGGTAACAAAAATAGATAACAAGCATTATAGAGATGAAAGATTTCTTTTAAGTTAGTAAACAGTCACTTAATGTACAAATCAAACATTTAATCTACATTAAGAGCTTCCCTTGGTAACGACTCTGAGTACGGCACACTCATAAATATATAATTATAAAAAAATCCTACTTATATTATAAATGCGAATGTTTTGATGTATGGATTGATGTTTGTTTGTAGGTCTCTCCAGTTCTAAACGGATTTAAATGAAATTTGGCATAAATGTAGAACTTGTAAAAACACATAAGCTAAAAATTATGTTTTTATAACACGTTGACGGAGACACGGGCGAACACCTAGTGTTATATTATTAAGACTTGGAAATAAAACCATATTATCATTAACAAAATTATCTCAATGTGTAAAAACATCTCGTGTCTTCAAACCTTGAACTGTGATGATAAAAAAAACGTTAATATAATATATCGAATGCAATTTGGCGAGAGAATAGAGTCACGTTCACAAAGGAAATTAAGCTATTATACTCTAACGATATGGTAATATTGATTGAATTCAATAATAAACTTAAGGATACGTTCAGAATTAAATAGGAGATTTTTCTATATGTTATTTTAAAGTTAATTAAAACTAACTATAAATTTTAATATTGAAAATTTTGTATAAAATCGTATGCCATAGAAATAATACGACTTAAGATCATTCAAGAAGCGAGCGTACCGTTTCCTTAAAGGCCGGTAACGCATCAGCTCCTCTAGTGTTGCAGATGTCCGTGGGTGTCGTTGATCACCTCGGTGTTCCCGTCGCTTGTTTTCTTTTCTCTTATATAAAAATTTTGCTTTAGTAAGTTTTAGCTTTAGTATCGTTACTGACATTTCCGATACAAAAATTTTAGTTATTGTCTATTAAAATCTTTAAAATCACATTCTTTAAAATCTTATTAATACTATAAATGCGAATGTTTGGATGAATGTATGAATGGATGGATGTTTGTTAGAAGGTATCTCCCGAACTTTGGCATAGATGTAGAACATAGCTTGAAAGAACTGGCTACTAATTAGGTTTTTTTTGTTCCGCGCGGACAGAGTCGCGGGCTACAGCTAGTACTTTATTATATAATACTTAATAGAATTAATAGCGATCTATTAAAAGGCCACTATTATGAAAATAAATCAAGTCAAAATTCTGTTTTTTTTTAAACATACTAGTCTTTGATATGGACGAATTGGGTAGTAATTCTTAGAAATATAATCGTTGTTAGTGTGTAGTCATCTTTATGTGTAAGTGTACGTTAGTCCGGTGCAGGCGGTGCCGCGGCGGGCACGCGCGAGATGAAATATTTGATGGTGCTGTTGTGTTGTGCTTTTGATATAGGATATGGAAGGATCGCTAGTGATTTTGTGAGTTGATTGTGTTCTTTTTTAAATATTAATTTTGCCTGATTTAATTTTTTTCTTTGCGATGCTAGATTTTTAATTGCAGTAAACATTTTATCTCTAATTATCTATAAGTTTTTACAAATAAACTGGACATCATCGGGTACTACCATTATGACAAAATAAATAAGACTGTATATGTTTTGCTACTCAGGTAAAACGGCAGCTATATAGATGTTTTATAACCGAAATTATTAGCTACTAGCCGACGCCCGCGACTAAGTCCGCACTGGATTTTTTTTTAATTATTAGTCTTTGTTATTCTTATGTTCTACATCTATGCCATATTTCAGCGAGATCCATGCAGCCGTTCTTCAGATGTCTTCTCACATCCATCCATCTAAACTTTCGCATTTATAATATTAAAATCTGGATGACTTTTTTTTTAATTGTGTTTTTTGGAAATTATATTTATAATAAGTACGAATTACTAATAAAATGATGAAATATGAATAATATTTTTCGATCTTACCGATAGAAAAAGTTAAGTTTATGTTTAAGTTGATTATCGATAAAATACGAATAAAATGACATTTTCTAAAAATGATTCCTAGCTAGATCGATTTATCGCCCCCGAAACCCTCTATACACTAAATTTTATGAAAATCGTTGGAGCCGATTCCGAGATTCCAATTATATATATATACAAGAATTGCTCAATTAAAGATATAAGATAAGATTAAGATTTACCTTATTTTTCAGGTACTACATAAACCACCACAGTTCGCTATAATAAAACCTCAGCTTAAAAATGAAATCACAATAAATATAATTATACATTTAGATAAAGTTATAACAGATAGACTTATCAAAGAATACGGCGCGAAGACTCGAAAGAAATTAAAAATAATATCGAACAATATACTCAAAGATGTGGAGAATTTCTTCCGTCATCCGAGTCTGAATCAAAATATTAAATTCAAATTAAAAGATACGAGGTTTTTAAAGAATAATACGAAAATAGTTAAGATGGATGAAAATGGCAGCTCGTATTTGAAGAGTTACTGCGAATGGCAAGGAAAGAGGAAACTTGTTAATAATTGGTATTACTCAGTCTTACTTACTGGTCTAGATCTTTATTATCTTAGTAAGAATGGTGAAGAAGTAAGAAGAAGTACAGGTATTATTTTTCATTAAAGTTTACTAAAAAAATATTTGGAAAATTTATCGTCTGTGTTATACGAGTACTTACTCCGCTTGCCCATTGACCCAAAGTGGGTCTTGGCCTCCGACACAAGAGATCGCCAAAGTCGCATGTCTTGCGCCTTCTCCTGCCATTCCATCGCATACTTACCTAATGATATAACTGAGGATGTCCTAAATATCTAGTATAAGTATTTTCAAATATCTTAGCGGCCCAGAAATCGACGTAGTGCCCTCCCCCATACCCCGCTTCGGCCCGCTTCACCTAAACTGTTTTGCGCAGCGACTCGCTCGAAATTAAGAGTTGCCGTGATATCTGTAAATAATTACACTATGAATGTTTTTGCGGTATTTCTAATTTGATAAGAAGCAGGATTGTTTTCGTTTGTCGCTTTTATGGCTATTGCTTTGTGCCATGGGGAAAACCTAGGTATATTAAGTTCTAAAGAGGTTAAATATGTTAATTAAAAATTATGAACAAATCTAATGTCAAAAGGTTCTAATAGTATTGAAATACATACATAAAGACTTACAGACCCGTTAAATAAATATTCTTAACCATGTTGTTGCACAAACCATGAACCATATTTATTTTTAGTTACTGACTAGTTATTTCTGAAAGACGGATTTACAGTTCGATCATAAAACAAAATACGAACCTGACAAACATCTATCCTCGTGGTAGACGCACCAGTTTCTGTCCAGCCGTAGGTTTCCGAGACAAAAATCCGGATTTAAAACATATCGTCATCTCTGTATTGTCAAAGATAATGACAGGAATAACGATATATTTATACAGATTTATTTTAAAAATCAACGGCAAAATTTATCTTTATTCGACATGTCAGAAGCAACTCCCTACTTAAACATGTTAACTATAACGCAGTCAAAGTGTTCCTAGATCTAAAATAATTTCTCGTTTTCCAGGACGTGGCTATGTGGGGGGCATGTGCAGCATTAAAAACAGTTGTGCTCTGCTGGAGTGGAATTCCAAGAACATTGGATATCTTCTGGCTCATGAAATAGCCCATAGGTATTTAATATTGCATCACCGTTATTTATGACGATTATGATAAAGCTCTATGTCGAATCGATTTGACGTTACATTATATACTAGTTGTCGCCCTCGACTCCGACCGTGAGGAATTGAAAGAATCAATTAGTAGTCTATGCCTTCTTCCACACTATGTTCTATATCCATTTCAAATTTAATCCAAATCCTTTGAGCCGTTCTAAGATACCTTCTAACAAACATACATCAATGCAACTATTCGTATTTATAATATTAGTACTATACTTCGTCAGCTTTTAAACAATCTAGAATGTTTATGATATTATTTAAAATAGAATGAATTTCTTTTATAACTTAAGTGTCACACAATTACCTGAAAGCTATACAAAGTTACATAACTTTTTCTTATTCTATTACTTGTATAATACTTTGATTACAATATTAAAACCAAGAACAGTTGCTAGCTATGAAGATCAAATATAATAAACAGTAGTCTATCTCGGTCAAACAACGTTAGCCTAAACTTAAAATTAGGCGTAAGGTGACTAACCTACTTGGAATTTGCAGGAATACTTTGCAGACTTCGTATGAAAACTTATATGAAACAGACTAACATTTTATTTTGGGAATCCTGTTTGCTATTTGCCTTTTAATTTTAGAGAAATAACGTAATGTTTTTGTCTGTTTTTCTTCCTAACTCCGCTACAGTTTGGGATGGTATTATGCATATCAGTCAATAACAAAATTACAATTCCAGTCTGGGAATCAACCACGACGGTCCACCGTACAACCATTGCCGTGGACATCGACACATGATGGGCGCGAGGTACAACCCCGAGAACCATCCACGAGTATGGTCCGCCTGCAGTAAACATGCACTCAAGAGATATTTAACGTAAGTTAAATTTTGCTATTAAAAAACGAAAGGAAATTGCGGAAATTTAATTTATCATGCCAATTATTAGGCGTGTTAGAATGGATATCTTTTAGTATATTTATGTTGTGTATCAGATTAATAATTAATAATTTAATTGATAATATTATGTTTTTAGGAGCGAGAGATCCTGGTGCCTCCGCCCTGGTACAAAGAGAACATCGAGGAACTTACGATTGACTTAAATGAAACTATTGTGATATTAGTAGTATAAATAAAAATAATGTGCATTTATTCACGTGTTTTTATTACCTTATGAACCACGACCACAATGTTGTCAAAGTGTATGAACCAAAAATTTAACATCCTTAACTGGAAGCAGCGCATGAAAAGATATCGCCTTTCGCTAGCTTATCTAATGTAAATATAATCTGTATCGAATTAAAGTTGGTGAATAATCGATTTATAATTCTTTTCATTTTAGTAGCAAATAATCCATGCAATACATTTGCTAATAAAATATATCAGGCGCAATATATTTTATGGTCTATTTTACGGGCTGTGATTCTCATGTCAAACCAAATATGAACTACTACTGTGAAACCAAACATGAATTTAAAAAATTGCGATTTTGAAGACGGCGAAAAACAATTTCATAGTATAACATTACTGATTCATTAAATTCCAAACATCATTAAGTCCATGAAAGTCTGATAATATTCGTGTTAACATCGTAATGGAGGCACGATCGATACGTAACCATGACAACCGTGTCATTTTCACTGTCAATTAACAAAACACGATATGCGTTTCCTATTATTACGTTCTTTTTGTGTGAAATATAAAACACTTTCACCCAAACGCTATCCGTAACTACACAATAACAATACAACAACAATATTGTATTCGAACCACGCGTCCGTCTGTCCGTCACAAACAAAACTCCATATTAGTATGCTAGAGATGAACAAAACCGAAAGTCGATTTCGACTGTTTTAAAGCGAAAGTTAAATTTCTTAAACATAATCAAAAACGAAATTAATTAGGATTTTACACGTTATGAACATTTGGCAAATAAGTGTTAAATTTCTTCTCCAAATTATCAGTTTTCTCCTTATTTTTGTAGGCTGTATTTTTTTTATTTCGTAACTTCAAGATAAGAACTCCTTAACTAATTAACCCTCACTTATTATACATTATAAATGCGAATGTTTATATTGTTTGAAGGTATCCAGATCGGCTGTACGGATCTCGATTAAAATTGGCATATAGAACATAGTCTGGTAGACCACATAGGCTAATAATTATAGTTCTTTCAATTCCGCGCGGACAGAATCGCGGTCGACAGCTAGTAATCAATGAATTTCACTATTTTCTTCATCTATTAGTGTAAATTAAATGAACCTCTATACTTTTATACGCCTAAAAGAATCTATTGTCAAATAACACAAATTACGTACATCACTAACTGACCTAGAGACCTAAACAGTTAAAACAAAGGACTACAGTTAACGCTGTAAATTGGTTTTACTTAACATAGTTAACACATTACAACTAACTGCACTGTGTCATGGGTCAACAAGCTTTGACCACAGACAAGTAAACGAACTTACGATAAAACTGTCTATATGTTTTCTTTCTGCAATGTATAAAAGTATTAGCGGAATGAACGAAGCGGAAACATAATTAGTAGCCTATGTGTTCTTCCAGATTAAATTCTATATGTATGCCAAATTCCATCAAGATCCGGTCAGGATTTTGAGAAACCGCTTTGGAGAAACCTTAAAACAAACATCCATCCATCTAAACATTCGCGTATATAATAAAAGTAAGATAGAAAGACTCGTGAGCATAAATGAGTTTAAAGATCATTTTCTTTCGTCCTAATCTATTATTCTACCAGTTTTTCCTTTTTTACACATGGCAATGCATTTGAAAACCTCCTTTGTCAGTTAAAAATTGTCCATTGCGGTTTCCATTGCCGATATTTAAAATCAAATTATTTAAAAAAAGATAACAATATTTTTTTACTTGCTTCGACAAAGGAAATACATCGTAAAAGAATAAGAACGTCGTCAAAATAAATTACTACTAAACGACATAAGCCTTTAACGTATTACAATATAGAAATTAAACGGCAATAATTAAACAGCAGAACGATTTATTTAAAATGTATCCAGCAAAGACTATCGAAGCGTTACACAGCGAATGCTCCAGATTTATTAGCGTGAAGATTTAACGCCCTTTCTCTTTTTTACTTTCCGTAATTTCGCGAACAATACGACCGAATGTCGGACTGTGGAGAAAGGCTTAGAACAATGGACACATAAGAGTACTAACCAGTATTAACATGTTTCTTAACAATAGTTATATGTTGCGTTAATTTTTTAATTGATTATTAGGCAATGGAATTAGTTAAGATTGGCCACCCGGTGAAACGAGCGGCATAGAGTCGCACTATAAGTTAGTTGTAATAATGCTACAAGCATTTTTTCAGAAAAAAGTATATAAATACACACGCTTAGAGATAGAGATATACAGTTTCCGTTGTATCAAAATTTAGGAGCATCATATGTGTGTACAGACGGCCAGGTTCCATCCACACCACCTGGCTGGCATTCCACAACGGTGCGATTCTCGCGCAATTTCTTGCCTCGCACAGTCGCATTGTGGAACGGTCTGTCCTCGGCGGTATTTCCAAATCGACTTAGGGACTTTCAAGAAGCGAGCATACCATGTCCTTAAAGGCCGGCAACGCATCTGCAGTTCCTCTGGCGTTGCAGATGTCCGTGGGTGTCGTTGATCACCCCAGTTTTTCCGCCGCTCGTTTGCCCTCTTCTCTTATTTAAAAAAAGTGTGTGCGGGCGGCACAGGACCGGCCATTGTGGCAATCGATGGGGGAGGCTTACGTCCAGCAGTGGATAAATTTAGGCTGATTATGATGATAATGATATGTGCCGGAACAAACAAAAGATACATTTGCCTTAAAATAATCAGATTAAAAATTTACAATAGCAATGGCTACTCTACGTTGTTACTGTTCCTTGAGTGATTTACGCGTTCAGTACAAATCTATACGGAACTTATTTTCACTGTTTCTCTCATTTTCATAATAAGAACATACGTTTGCAAAAGCACGTATTAAACTATGTGAAGACCAAAGAAAGTACTCGACAAAACCGTAATATAATATTTTCTTTTGTTATTTAAAATTAAACAAACATTATGGTTATTGATGAACTCAAATCTCTAATTGTTTGAATTTCGATTATCGTTATTTTTATAAGACATCGATTTTTGTTATTAATTTAATAAACATCAGCCTATACTATTAAAAAAGCTGTATAGAAGTTTGGTATGCATTTATAATCTTACTTCTTACTAATATTATAAATTCGAATGTTTGAATGGATGGATGTTTGTTTGAAGGTATATCCAGATGGGCTGAACGGCCCTCGCTGAAATTTGGCGTAGTTGTAGAGCACAGTCTGGAAGAACGCATAGGCTCAAAAAAAAGTAAGTTAGTTACTTTTTTTGATTGCGCGGACGGGATCGCGGGCGACATCTAGTGAGTTTATAATATTAATATAAAACATATGACGTAATAAAATATATTTGCTAAAATACTTCCTTGACGAATAATTTGACTATTTAAGATAATTTTCTTATTTAATGTTTGATTAAAATATTTTATTACTATTTTTAAATTTATTTATTGTGCAATATCAAACGAAAGTAGAAATGATAATATTAAGCGTGTTAAATGAGTTTGCATTGCCAGTTTCAGCTCGCAATACTATAGTGTTGTTCCTGTGTTACATTTAAATATATCGATGTTTTTATTCATATAGAGATGTGAGGTAACTAGAATTGCTACGAGTAAATAATAATATAATTGGAGAGGAACTTAAGCTATATTTTAGTTATATTCATGAAAATTTGCTCTACAATTTAAATTACTTAAATATCATATTGTCAAAAAAGATTTTTGACAAAAAAATTGTTATTGTTTCTTATATTATAAAATTATTTTCTTTTCAAACTATAGCCAAAGCTCATAAATAGTGTAATAAAGAAATAAAGCAGTTAGATTGTAAACTAATCTATCGAAATATAAAAAAAACAATATAAACCTTATAAATAAAAAGTTCTTAATCATATCGAGAAAATCCCAACACTGGTACATTCTAAGTTCGTTCTAATTCGTGTGCAACGGCCACAGTCGCTAGCCGCAACACTGGCTGAATCGACGCGGCCACGCGGTGACAGATGACAGTTAAAAGCGCGCGAAAAACATTTCGTAAAATGATTAAGATCCTATTTATTTCAAGAAAATTACAATAAATGCACAAATTATTTTTAATTTTATAAATAAAATGTGCTACAAAACAGCAACGTTATGTTAATATTAATAATTAAATTATATTTTATTGACTTTTAGTTTATGAAATTAGTTTTATGAATATCTTATTTGTAAGCATGTGAACTTAGGACGTTTTTTGTGATTAATTGAACTCATTTAAGTAGTCATGGGTTGGAGAAAAGTGATTCTTGTTGCTGTTCTGTCTTCAATACTAGATGTCAACAGCGAGGAGCTTTTCGGAAATGATGTAAGTTTCCTTTTTTTAATTTTTTTTTAAATTCCAAGACATATATTTTTCGTTAAAAAAATTAAAAAGAAAATTTGTATATGTAATATATTATATAAGTAGAATAACAATAACCTTTTTTTATTAATATAAAAAGCAAAGAATAAAATAAAAAAACAAAAACGAGGTTGCCAACACCATTAATACTACGTAGATGAAGTACATATACTTTGTCATTTTCTAAAAATAAAAAAGCCAAGTTACCGGAGATCATTTTGTACCAAATCTAACAACTTACATACATATAATCTCCAAAAACATTCAGTGTTTCAGTCAAACAAAGATGACAATCGGGAAGTTAACATTATGTTTATAATTGAATCAAATACAGTTCTATGTCCTCAGTATTTGTCGCGTTTCCGACAAACCGTTACAATTAACATCTACCATCGAATAGGCAACAAGGACATAACGTGTAATACGACTGAAAATATATAATAAATAAATAATAACAGCTTATGGTACTTAACAATGCTAATTAACTTAAATACATATTATTGAAATCACCCTTAACTTAGGGTAGGCTCCGTGCCCTTCGGTGGGGACGTATAGTGACCTGATGATGAGATGACATGTTATTGAAATAAACGAAGATTTTATATCAAAGGCACAAGTAATTTTGTAAAATAATATACTAAATTTTTAATGTCGAAAATGGATTTTAAATCGTCCTATATTATAGCGGATTTGACGGGGAAGGTGATGCTCTTTTAGACATTATTAGTAAGAATCCTTTGGCGCGAATGACGCTTTCATTAAAAAGTCAAGTGTCGGAATAAATAGTGAGGGGACATAAACGTCTACATTTTAGTAAGGCTAGTGTTGCGTCAATACACCGGCACAGTGTCAGATATTCTTCCAAGCAATAGGGAGGCCCTCTTCCGTCGATTAAAGGTAGGCAACGCATCTGTGGATATCTATGAGCAAGTCTCTTCGCTATATCGTAGTATTCAGGTGACAGCTCAATCGTTTGTCACCTTATAATATTAAAAAAATAGTAAGGTCACATTTCCTATCCAATTCAAACAATGAGTGGAATCTAGTGTTAGGTCACGCTTAAATTCTGAATGGCAACAGGGTACCTTGAACCGAGGCAGGTTCAAATGTCGCGATAGCACGCGTTATAAAATAAGTGGCCTAGATTGTTAGTAACGTTAGAGACAAACGTAATGGTCACAGGAAATTAAATACGACACAAAATTTGACTTTTTAAAATGGGTGGGTGTGTTGGAAATGTTCTGTTAGCGAATATTTTATACTTTATTTTTAAAAATCTAATTAATTTCTATATGATACAGTAAGCGTCGGTGGCTCAGGGGCTTAAGCACTGGACTTGTAATCCGCAGGTCCTCGGTTCGAATCCCGCCATGTACCAATGTGTTTTTCGATTTTCGATTTACATATGTACATTTATATGACGTTCTTACGGTGAAAGAAAACATCGTGATGCAATCTGCACATATCTGAGAAGAAATTCAAAGATATGTGTGAAGTCAACCAACCCGCACTTGGCCAGCGTGGTTGACTATGGCCTAATCATCCTTAACTTAGGGTAGGCTCCGAGCCCCTCAGTGGGGACATATAGTGAGCTGATAATGATGAAGCAGTAATCTAGGGTTTCTGAGCATTAATCTCCGCTTAAAACATATTGTTCTCTGTACTTTTTCAAAGATGAAAGAGGGAGAAGACGATATGTTTTACAGAGATTTGGATGTCAGAAACCCACGGTAAATTATGTTAAGTGTAAAAATGTTAATTATGCTTAAATCAATGTTGTCCTAGATATTTTGCAGATAATATCTGAATGTGAACAGTCAAATTTTATTCTTAAAAATATTAACTTGATTTTGCGTAAGCTCTCAATTGAATATAAATATTAAAAATAATGAAACTATATTGAAATTCAGTATAAATTGTATTCATTTAAATTGCAAAACGAACTTTTAATAATAAAGAAATAAAAAATCGACTAAAACAGAAATAACACTCGATTTAAATTCTCCTAATTATTCCAACAATAACTATTTCTCATAAAACTGACAATGAACTCTTTAAAGAAGTTTACCACATCAATGAACGTAATAAAATTCAATTACATATTCAGTCAAAGCAACAAAACTTTACACGGCTTTTAATAATAGAAGTCATTTCTTGATATACATCTTTTTCAGACTGAATTTGCGCAAGCCGTTGTCTTTGAAAGTTAACGCAATGTACTGGGAACTTGCAGATTCGTTCGTGTTGCGCATTCGTGAGATATGGTAGCGTGGGTTCTTCTCCCATTGACGAATGAAGATGATAAAAGAAATCATAGGAGAGGCTTAGTAATCGTATTCAGAACAAAGAGAACCAACAAAAGGATATCATGTTCTTAAATACCAACTAACTTATTGGTACGATTTGTAAGAAGTAAACATACCTCGTTCTCAACGCATTTGTAGTTCCTTTGGTGTTGCACAAGTCCTCGAAAATCGCTGAACTTTTTAGCTAAGAGTTTCACTGCTCGTTTGTGTAGTAAGCAACTTACATATATTTAAAAACAAAAGATCCTACCAACTTAGCTCCTAGACTTTGTCGATAGTAATAAAATAAAAGTGTACGTATCTCATAAACCATTAAGAAAAAGCTTCAAGATTGCATGTAATTGCACAAGAGTCGTTTAAAACGGGATCGTCGCGTGAAACTATAACGGTATTTGTAACATACATGTACTTTGACAATGACGACATTCATTGTTACGTACTGGGTTATGTAATTACATATAAAAACGTAAAGTTCCAATTTCAAATCGTGATCTACTCTGAATAGATCTATTCTTTCGTAGTCACAATATGTGTCTTCAAAAATTATTACACACTAGTTTTTAAAATAAAGTTCAACAGTTTATAAATAAAGTTCAAATTGACTCTACATTTTATTTAGAAGACGTTTATATGGAAAAAGAAAGTATGGAAGATGTAGGTAGAAAGGATGTTAGGGTTTCCTGGCAATTATTCGAATTATTCTCACCTTTTAAACCTTCCCTAAACCTCCACGAACATTTCAAGACCAAGATAAGATAAATCTATTCAGCCGTTCTTGACTTTTAGCGAGACTAACGAACAGCATTTTGATTTATATATATATACATAAATCAAAATGCTCGTCGTCATTTAGCTGTCCAAAGGGGGAACGCTGCCAGTATCTTCGGGACCTTGCCTAAAGGGACTCCTTTTAATAACATATTTTAGTGAATTATTCGTTTTTTTTTTTAATATTTTATTTTATATCATAGATTTAAGACTATATGTATTATAATTATAGAAATAAGAATGAATAATAAATTCTTATATTATATATATATCCATATATATATATATATATATATCCATATATATATATATATATATATATATATATATATATATATATATATATATATATATATATATATATATATATATATATATATATATGGATATATAGATAGATAAATAGAAGATAATTAAGGGCATTAGAATATTTAAAAGATTAATAATAATTATTGATGTGACAGAAAAAGTAATAAAAACAAATTCAATCCAATAAATGCTAAGGTTGAAAAATTCCCGAACCTGTTTAAAAAGAACTGAGCTTTTAATAAAAATAAACTGTATAAAACAAATAAATTATTTTAGTCCCTTATATTTGGTGTAATTTATTGCACCATAAGTAAATTTATATAACAAAGTTAAACATAATATACTCGAATGTTTAAAAATTTGTCTCGGAAAACAGGTTTGGTTCCTTTACTGTATTAATATAAACAAAATGCAGAATTAAGTGAAGCAAATGTCAAGGTCGTTTTTACAAACAAACAAAATAACATCTTACATCTTTAAATATAAAATACTCCAACACATTCAAAGAAATTGCATAGATATTAGCAGTATTAAAGAAACAAAAAACTATTGCACAAAACATCTTACGATATCACAGGGTTTTTAAATAAAGTAAGGTCCTGTCATCTTTATCTTCCCTTCTTATTCGGCGTCCTAATTGGGGTCAACGCACTAGGTTTCGTCCTCCAGATATGTCTCAAAGTTGTACCTGTGTAGAGTTATAAAAAGCCAAGACGAGTAACTTGACGAATTCAAGTCAAAATGCCAGATCTATCAAAGCTTCAATATAAATTTTAAAGCGTCAATAGCCTAATTGTTAAGGGTACGGATTTCCGATCACGAAGTCGGGGGTTCGAATCCCGCCATTCGACTATTGTCGTAAACCATATCCTAGCACAAGCCTAGAGCTTAATTAGAATTGTAAAAGAAATATTAGTAAATTTACAAAAAAAAACTGCTAATATTTAAAAATGTTAACATTCTAAATTTAGTATTCAACTTCTGTGAAACATTCAAAGCACGTGAATCTTTACTGTAGATAAGTTTCTTGCATCCTTGTAGAGGACATTTGCATTCTTGACTAACACTATAAAGATTTTTATATGTTTGTACCAAATAAAGTCAAAAACTACTGAACAGATTTTAAACTTCTTGCGCCGTTTTATTGTTACATAATTCCTAAGTAACAAAGACTATTTTTTATTTTATTTTTAAAAATAAATGCTTGTGCGTAGTCGAAACAGGTTGCTAGTAAAATATAATATTTGACCACTAGTGTCTACATAAAAATGTTACTGCTTAATCTTGACTAACCTGGTCCAAGTTTTTATAAGGATATATTTATCGTGTAAAATGCACGTCCGCTTTGATGTAATTACTATATCGCCTCTATTACGACATTGCCTCTATTTTCCCAGTTTTTTTTTTTTTTTTTATTTTGCAATCACGTCTTGTCGAATTATAAACTTCCTTCTTAAAAAATTGTGTACATATCTTATAAAATTGAAAATAAAACGCCTGAATCAGTCTTACTTATATAAAATGCGATGATTAGTCGGCTGCATTGATCTGCGTGAAATTTGGCATAGATGTAAAACATAA